TCGCATAGTCCTGAGGTTCGAATGCGTTGTAGAGCTAACAGCAGAGAGTGAAGCAGCACAAGAAGGATTGTAGAATCCAAATTTCAAAAGACGGGACTACATAGGCATGAGATGCAATGAGGGAAGAGAACTGGAGAAAACGATAATATATGAAATGATGGAACATATGACCACAAAGTGCAGGGAGGCAGAAGCGAAGTTCGTACCCAAAAGCAACAGAAACAATGGGAAGACCAGAACGATCCCTTTGTTCACCCGGAGGTATAGAAAGGCCTTAGCTGTGTGCTAAAGTATGGAAAAATTTTAGAAGACAAAGGACCCAGGAAAATAAGGAGACAAGCCGAAGAGCCAGAAACGAATATGCATGGAAAGAATGGAGGCCCAGTGGCAATACGAGAATGATATAGCGTCGAAAGCCAAATCTTACTCAAAGCTGTCGAATAACTACATCAGGAGGAAAACAACAGTCAAGGATCAGGTAATTAGCCTAAGCAATGAAGGAAGGGAGATCACATAAACGACCAAGAAATAAGTGAGGAGCTCAACACGAGATTTCGGGAGGTATTTTCAATGGAGACATATAGGCTGCCAGGAAACCGGGATGTAGGGCACACAAAGTGCTGGACACGCTACACACATCCGACGAGTTGAAGAAACTGCTAAGCGAACTAGATACCTCAAAAATTATACGACCGGACAACTCTCCATGGGTCCTGAGAGAGGAAGCAGAGGCACTGCGTGTGCCACTAACAACAATCTTCAGCATATTCATCGTAACAGGGCAACTGCCTGAGGGACTACCTTTGCTGTCTTCCACGAAAAAGGTAGTCCCAGGTTTTAAGAAAGAATTCTGACAGGCAACTTTAAACTACAGACCAGTGTCACTGACTTGTATACTATGCAGTCATGGAGACGCTTATCAGGAGAAGAGTGGTGGAGCATCTAGAAAGGAATAAACTTATACACGATAACCAGGGAGGGGAAATCCTGTGTAGCAAACCTATTGGAGGTTAACGACAAGTTAACAAACGTGAGACAGGAGAGAGAGAGAGAGAGAGAGAGGAGAGAGAGAGGAGAGAGAGAGAGAGAGAGAGGAGAGAGAGAGACTAGTGTTCAATGTATAGACCCCAGTGGCAACATGCAGACCCCATCAACTTCCCAATGGAAAATGTGGACTCCCTTCTACTACAACACAACTGTCAACATGTCATAATTGTTGGTGACCTCAACCAACACCTTATACAGAGGAACTTTGATGATCTTGCAGTATTTGACATAAGAAACTTTTTTGATTTCGCTACTCACATCTCTGTCTCCTCCTTTGACCCAGTAGTGAGTGATCTGGCAGAAGGTATTGTCACTTGTCAACCCCTCGGCAACGTTGGATCATCTGACCACAAAGCTGTTTTTACGACACTTAAGATCCCAACAGAACGAGGTGAGGAGTCCACACGCATAACCTGGCTATGGGAAAGAGGTAATTGGCCAGCCTTTTGCTCTGAGCTCGCCACCACCGATCGGAATGCTCTTCTCCAAGGGAATGCTGACAACGAAGTGAAAGCCTTCACTGGACACATCCTTAATCTACAACAAGAACACATTCCTCACCGGCAATATGTGACGAAGCCTACAGATCAGCCATGGTTTGGCTTTCGTTGTAGAGAGGCTGCTAGATGGTAGCACCTATAACAGGAACTTGCACAGGCAATCCTGTAGGCATATGGGTGACGTTCAAAAGTGAGCCATCGCTAAATGGAAGATGGACACAAAAAGAAAACTAGCATCAGGTCGGGTAGGCTCCAAAACCTGGTGGTCCCTGGTCAAGGACAGACAAGGTTATCTGCCTGATGAACTCATTCCACCTCTAAATCGACAGGATGGGACCACCTCTACTAGTAGTCAAGAGAAAGCGGACCTCTTTGCCGAACACTTTGCTACCAAAATGCAAGTTCTTGATCCAGCAAGGGACCCTCCTAGGCTAGTTGCAGGAACTGTGTCAAAACTGTCTGTGGTGACAATAAGGCAGGAAGAGGTGCATTTCCTTCTTAAATCGCTTGATCAAGAAAAGGCTGTGGGCCCAGAAAAGCCGAGCCCAAGATTACTGAGATGTGCAGACCAGCTAGCAGCACCTCTAACCCGCATCTTTCAGCACTGCCTAGTACAGTGTAAATGGCCTTCTCTGTCGAAAGAGGCAAATGTAGTCCCTGTTCACAAAAAGAAGAGCAGAGCAGAAGTCAGCAACTACAGACCAGTGTCACTCCTGTCAATCACCGGCAAGCTCCTTAAGACAATAATCTCAAGACATGTGACAGAGTTTTTTGACTACCACTCACTACTTAGTGACTGTCAATATGGCTTCAGGAAAAGCTACTCTGCTGCTGATCTGTTGTTAAACCTCTCCACTAGGTGGCAAAAGTATCTGGATGAATCAAAAGACAGCTGTGTGGTAGCACTGGACATTGCTGGGGCTTTCGACCCGGGTGGGGACAGGGCCCAAGCAAAAC